CCACTCAGGAGATTGCCTCTCGGTATTTGTTTTACAGCAATTCGACTCTCATAGTTCCTCTTATCCATGGTTTCCCTTTCTGTAAGCTATAGACAATTCCAGAATGAGAAATTCATGAGTTTTAAATTGCAAAGTGTTCTGAGTAGCGTGATGCAGTCTCATCCCACCACACCCCAGCCCTCCAGGGGCACGAGCCTCTGCCTTCTCCAGCAGTTTCCCAGTTGATATACTGTTTTTGTAATACCTTCCTGTTAGTTGCTAGTTGCCATGTTTGTTGAGAGATTGACTGTTGTGATAGTGCTCCACTTGTGTAGAAGAGAACATCTCTCCAATTACTCATGCACCACATTCTGTTTGTGCACACATTGCATTGTTAGCACCTTGGAGCTTAAGAATAGAAGACACACCTTGAGCCTCTCCTAATGGAAAACATGATTTCCCATGAGACTATGACCCAAGAATTTGGGATGTGTTTAATAAGTTTATGATGAACCTTTTTCTCAAATAACCTCAAGAAAAAGTACCAGTGACTAGGAAGTCAATTCTACTTCATTGTAATGCTAAAATGTCCACCAGGAAGGAAGTTGAACCTCGTTTCCATGGTATATGGTTGTATGCCAAAGTGTCCTTTAAGAAAGGCTTGTGTGTAAACAAGGCAGTCTGGTGCATGCTTAACTCCCAGGATTGAACCTGGTTTCATCTGACAAAGCAAGGTAACCCACACCTGCAATGCCACCATGATCTGAGGGATGAGGTATCAGTCCCTGGGCATAATGAGGAGCCACTGGAGGCCCTTGATCTCTCCAAAAGGAAAATTCTACAGTCGTTATTCATGGAATAATACTACATCATTTGTCAGGCACATAGACAGACCTATTTAGAAAAGCAGATACACATTCAGGAAAGAGGGGGCCAGATACAGTGAGGTCGGTAGTGAGCTTGCTTCACATGCACAAGGTCCCAGGCTCAATCCCCAGCACCACAGGAAGAAAGAAAGGAAAAAATGTGAGAAACTCTAAAGGGAGAGACAGCAAATTCAAGGTTGGAGGTGTTGCTATTTGGAGAGGGACATTTAAGTCGGGATGGACTAGAGATGGGACCAGAGCAGACTTCTGTAATTTCTCACCCATTTTTCTAAGCTTGCTCATACCATGCTAGTATTTGGGGGTCCAGGAAGCTGGTCTAGGAGAAATGTTGCATTGCAGGTATTTCCTTTTTTAAAAAATAAAAATCTGATCTTTATTTTTAAATATATTTTTTAGTTGGACAGGATACCTTCATTTTATATATTTCTTTTTAATGTGGTGCTGAGGATTGAACCCTATGCCTCACTGGTGCTAGGCAGATGCTCTCTCACTGAGCCACAATCCCAGTCTCTTGTTTTTAATTTCAAATTTTTTGTAGGCATTCCTGCATTCTGGTGATTTATGACCTTCTCCTTTGAGGTTCAGTGTAACTTTCTTATTGGTATCCCAACATTTCTGCCCCAACCAGACATGTTCCACAGTTCTTTATGGACCTCAAGTGTTACTAGAGGAATGATTAAATGATCATTTAGTTGTCAAAGCAAATAGGGCAGTGTTTTCAGGATGGAAGTTTTAAGAGAATGCTCATTATTAGATTTCTATTTTTACTTATGTATTTAGCCATGGACTGATATGGTTTTTGCAGTCATCCACAAATGTGGTCCACAAACCAGCAGATTTCAGAAATTTTTCATGTTGACAGCTATTTTCAAATGGTTGCATTCTGATTGAGGCCCATTTGGCCCAGGGTAAACATTAAGATGCTTTTAAAGTGCTTATGAATTTTCCTGGCTAGAATATTACAGAGGGTCTTGCCAGTTTTCTCGCCACTTTTTTTTTTTTAAATCTCATTGGTGTTGAAAAACCTCTCAGATGCAAGGGATGCACCCCAGAGGCAAGCTCCTGCAGATGGCCACCTACAGACCCCCACACCCACAGATCCTATTCTCCGTCCCCAATTAATTGGGTGTCAGGTGCTGATGGATTGTTAATTATTGGGTAAAACCCAGTGTTTTGCCCCCAAGGAGCCCAAGGTCTTGCTTGTTGGTTATTGGAACCACTGGGTTGGTTATTCACATTTGCTTGCCTCTCAAGACAAATCTGAGCTCCATCCACAGACCTATATCTAGTGGCACTGGTAGCTTAGGAAAATTTCTCATTTTGGTTAAGAAACCTAACAGCAAGAATAATTAATAATTTCCCTCTTGGGGGAATGTAGGGTTCTGGCCCCAAGGTGTCCCCGGCTCTTTCCCTCTTCTCACCCACATACATCTTCTCTTCATCATGGGCAAGTCAACCGTGTACTGCTCATCCCTGGAATTCTGGGCATGTGCCTTCATCTTCTCCATCTTCCTTGAAGAGAAATGTCCCCATTTCACAAATGCAGCAAAACTGGTCCCCCAAATACCTGGGCTGCTATTACTGAGAAGCAAAAGTAAAATATAGTGAAAATGGGGGCTGGGGCTGGGGCTCAGCCATAGAGCTCTCGCCTAGCACGTGCGAGGCACTGGGTTCCATCCTCAGCACCACAGAAAAATAAATGGATAGAATAAAGGTATTGGGTGCAACTCCAACTAGAAAAAAATATTTTTAAAAAATACTGAAAAGGCAACATATTCTAGCAATTAGGGAAATGCAAATTAAAATTGCACTGAGATTCTCTTTCACTCCAGTAAGAATGGCAATTATCAAGAATACAGTAACACAGTAACAGTAAATTGGTGAGGATGTCAGGAACAGAGAATGCCCACACTTTGTTGGATAAACTGCACATTGGTGTAACCTCTCTGGAATGCAGGATGGAGATTCCTCAAGAAATTAGGACTGGAACCACCCTCTGAATCAGTTATCCCAATCTTCAGCATAAATACAGAGGATAAAATCAGCATACTACAGGGACACAGCCACATCAATGTTTATGATAGCACAACTCACAATAGCTAAGCTATGGAGCCACCCTAAATGCCCATCAACAGATGAATAGATAAAGAAATTGTGGTATGTATAGAAGCTGGAATATTACTCAGGTTTAAAAAAGGATGACTTCATATCATTGGCCAGTAAATGAATGGATCTGGAGCTTCTCATGCTAAAGTAAAATAAGGCAATCCCCCCAAACCAAAGGTCACATGTTTTCCCTGACATGTGTTATATACATCACAAGGAATGTGGGGGGTAGGAAGAGAATTTCAGTAGATTAGACAAAGGGGAACAACAGGAAGGGAGAGGAGATAAGAACAGAGAATACCATAGCATGAATCGACCATAATGTTCCTATTCAAATATATGAAAATACCTAAGTGAATCCACCCATCTTGCCCACCCACATGAATGGGGTGCTAAGGAGAATAAGGTATATTTTATATTTGGATAATTTTATCAAAATGGATTCTATGGTCATGTATAACTAAGACGAACCAATAAAACAGAAAAAGTTAAAAGTACTAAAAGGACCATGGGACCAAATTGATAGCATCATAGCTGGATGAGGAAATGTCTTTAGGTACATTCCAGAATTTTCTAAACCACTCCCCCATTGGATGCTACCAAAGGTGTTGGAGCCTGTGGGAAGGTGGAGGTTCAGGGTGCTGCTTGGAGAAGATAGGACCCCCCCATTCATCTGCAGGTGCAGGGGTCCCAGGGGGCAGGTAATCTTGAGACCTCCATGGTTAACTAAGGCAGAGATGAGCAGGGTGCATTCAAGTCTATGGAGTTATTTACCATATTAGGAAAACCAGGAATTGTCTTTCCTGGACTCCCAATCAAATGCAAATTGTTTTTCCTTAAAGAGAGAGACCCTTGAGCCCCTCTTAACAAGAAGTCTTCTCTGTATTATGTGACTTTTTTCACCACTGAATTGGGGGGACAAGACTCAGAGTTCTCTCTGGAAATACATTGACTTTGTTTGCATCTTCTGTCTTGTCAAGTGCAGAGTATTCAGCTGATACTAAGGATACACACCTGGGCAGGGTGTCTCTGATTTTAGGAGGAGGCAGGATCCCATTGCCTGGGATCCAGGGAACTGGCAGGAACCAGGAAGAGCACCCAGGGTGGCCTTGATCTGTGCCAGGCTGTTATCCTGTGGCCACTGCAGGTATTTCTCTCAAAAAGAAAGAAAGAAAAAAAAGTGGCACACGCCTGTCATTGCAGCGGCTGGGGAGGCTGAGGCAGGAGGATGGTGAATTCAAAGGCAGCCTCAGCAAAAGCAAAGTGCTAAGCAACTCAGTGATACCCTGTCTATAAATAAAATTCAAACTAGGGCTGGGGAAGGGGCTCAGAGGTCGAGTCCTCTGAATTCAACCCTCAGTGGCCAAAGAGCTAGGGAGCCCAGTGCAGCTGGGGTTTACCCAGGTCTGAGCTCTCCAGGTCTCTTATGTGCTGATCTCCTTACTCTGCCTCCAGCCTCAACGTGGGCTGAGATATAGATTCAACTCAGCTGGAGGAACATCAGCTTTCATGCTGCCAACCGGATGCAGCCTCCTCCAGGGCGCCAGTCAGGCGCCCCATGAGCCTCTACCAGCGCGGGCCTTGACGCACTGGACAGTTCCCAAGGCGCGAAAGGCCAGTTCTGCTTGGAGAATTTTGCACAGATTGTTAGAGACAAGTCGGAAGCTCAAAGACGCTTTGTGTGGTGAAACTTTCAAGAAATGACTTCAATTTCCTAACATCAAAACTGAACAGAACTTAGAATTCTGGTACCCTAACCCTAACCCAATGCCCAGACTTCAAAAGGAAAAGAAAAAAGCTGCAGCCCGACCCTGCCATTCTGGCCTCCTTCTTGCCTGGAGCGGATATCACCCCCCTGTCACTCAAAAAGAAGGCTGGCTGGGCTCAGGCTGGGGAGAGCGGAGACTGACTGACGCCCTGTCCAATCAGAAGCCCCGGTGCTGAGCGCTGTCCAATCCTGAGCGCTGTCCAATACTGAGGGCAGTCGGCGAGCAAGGGGGCGGGCTTCCGCGCTCCGGAAGAGGTTTATTTCTCTGCGGTCCGCGGTTCCCCTCAGATTACTGCAGTTGGACTCCAAGCTTCGCTCCTGCCCAGGACGCCGGGTGGCCCTGCCATGCAGGGGCCTAAGCTCCTCTGGGCAGGCTTGGCTGCTGGGAACCAGGAAATGGTGAGTGTGCAGTGGCACCTGGTGCCTGGACAGGGAGGCTCTGGAGGTAGGCCGGACAGGGAGGACGTCCCGCGGGACCTGCAGTGGCGGGAGTCCGAGCTGGCCCACTCCGACTCCGGGCGCTCTCTGCGGCCGCAGGCCTGAGCCCCTTGGGGACAGTGCCCTTCAGTCCCCCTGGCCAGCCGGGTGGGGAGCGTGACAGTGGTGGAGACCCCTCGCGGCCTCCCCATACCTTGGGGGCAGCCTTAGCCCCTGCTCAAGTCTTATGTGGCAGGTGAGCGCGGCTGCCTGGCCTCTTCCCAGGCTGAGGTGATTGACAGGTGGGACCACTAGAAGAATCCAATCTCCTAGACCAGCGATGGCACACACCTGTCATCCCAGAGGCTGGGGAACGGGGGGAGAGGCCAGCCTTGGCAACTTGGCGAGGCACTTAGAGACTCAGCTAGATGAGACCCTGCCTCTAAATAAAATGCAAAATCCTCCAAACCCCGTTTTCCTGCAGGAGGGGAGCTGCGGTGTACAGGGACCCGCTTATTCCTGAGCTAGTTTTGTCTAGTTTGTTTTTTGTTTTGGTAGTTAACAGAAGGGTGCTTTACCACTAAGCTCTGACCCTGGTAGTTTTTAGTTTTTATTCTGAGCGCAGGTCTAGCTAAGATGCTGAGGGTGGCCTGGTTAGGGTTTGATTGATAATGATTTTTCCATTACAATTAAGTGTATGGTTTTTACATCCACGTGGGTTCGTGGGTGGACTCTGTTGACGTCATGATTCCTTGATGATAATTGTAACAGTTATACCAGGAGCCTCCTATTCCGGTATAATTTTGAAACATAATCCTGCTCAACATGTGCTTCTTCAGGGTGCTGGAGTATAATCCAGTACCACGCATGTCCTCCACCGAAGCCCTACCAGTACTCTGCGCCTCCAGTTCCCACACCTCCCTTCATGCTGGGTTGTCTTATTCACTCACATCAAATCCTCTCCAGGAGATGGTTGCATTTATCTAGGCCTTTTCATTGCACTTCATAATAAAATTGACATTTACATACATATGGAGTCATCTATGAAATTTCTGCATTTTGAATTTTTTTGGTCCTCAAATTACTGCAATATGATAATTTTATAACATGCATTAGTGCCTGGTAATGTTAGCTCCTGATTTTGCTCTTAGAGTTCAGAATTCTTGGCTAATTTCATTCAATTTAACTTTCCAGGAGACTTTTCAAACTGTTTGCTCTGGTCCCTTCTTCAATGAAAAGGAAATCATGGTGAAATTTTGATGGGGTGTTATCCTAGATGAACCTGAGGGAAGTGGCCATCTTTATAAGGAGGAATTTTATCATTCAGTCTCTTACGTGCTGATCTGTATTTGCATTTTTTCAAATTCTGCAGGTGTCCTTTTAAAAATATGGTGATATGCGAAATGTGATATTTATATGACATCGATATAAAACTGATATGTGTTTCATAGTATTTGTCAAACTGTATGCAATATGGCAAAAAAAAAAAATGTGGCTGATTGCCAGAAATGGTTATTTCTGGATGGAATTTCCAGGGTGTCCTACTACTGAACTATATCCTCAGCCCTTTTTAAATTTTTACTTAAAAATTTATATTTTAATTTATTTCTTAATTTAATTTTTTAAAATTACTATTCTATATATATATATATATATATATATATATATATATATATATATTTTTTTTTTTTTTTTTTAATTTAGGCAGGGTTTCACTCAGTTGCTGGGATCAGCTTCACAATTGTGATCCCCCTGCCTCAGCCTCCAGATCACTGGATATATCAGGTATGTAGCACCACATGCATCCTATCTCACAATTTCTTTCTTTTTTTAGGATGTTTTTTAGGTCTTGATTTAATTTTATATATTGTTTTTATTATTTTTTAAATACATGATAACAATGGACTGCATTATGATCCTTATTACACACATAGAGCACAATTTTTCATATCTCTGTATATAAAGTATATTCACGTCGTCATCTTATGCCATTATACATGTACTCATTTCTTCTGCATTACAATTCTTAATACACATGTATAACACAATTTTTCACCTCTCTTTGTATGTAAGGTATGTTGACACCCAATTCAAGTCTTTATGCATGTATTTTGAATAATGATGTTGATCATATCATTGTATAATGATAACCATCACCTTCCACCATCCTTGCTAATCTCCTTCCCCCTCCATTTCCCTCCCACCCCTCTGCCCTATGTAGAATTATTCTAATCCTCCTATGCTCTTCCTCCCTACCCCACTGTGAGTCACCCCCATATATCAGAGAAAATATTTGGCATTTGTTTTTTTGGGATTGGCTAACTTCACTTAGCATAATATTTTCCAACTTCATCCATTTACTGGCAATTGCCATGTTTTTATTCTCTTTTAGTGCTGAGTAATATTCCATTGTGTATAAATGACAAATTTGTTTTTATGCATTCGTCCACTGAAGGGAATCTAGGTTGGCTCCACAGTTTAGCTACTATGAATTGTGCTGCTATAAACATTGATGTGGCTGTGTCCCTGTAGTGTGTTGTTTTTAAGTCCTTTGGGTAAATTCCGAGAAGAGGAATAGCTGGGTCAAATGGTGGTTCCATTGCCAGATTTCCAAGAAATCTCCATAGTGCTTTCCATATTGGCTGCACCAATTTGCAATCCCACAAGCAATGTATGAGTGTACCTTTTTCCCACATCCTCGCCAACACATATTGTTGTTTGTCTTCATAATAGCTGCCATTCTGACTGGAGTGAGATGATATCTTAGTTTTTATTTGCATTTCTCTGATTGCTAGAGAGGATGAGCATTTTTTAATATATTTGTTGATTGTATATACTCTTCTGAGAAGTGTCTGTTCAGGTCCTTGGTCCATTTTTTTTTTTTTTTTTTTTTTTTTGGTGTTAAGATATTTGAGTTCTTTATAGACCCTAGAGATTAGTGCTCTATTGCTGAGAGCCATAGCCAAGTAGGAATGACGCATGGCATTTTTGGGTTGAACGGTGACCCTGCTCAGGGATTAGGGTGGCTCTGGGTTTAGGGTGGATCCTGCTGGGAATAGGGCGGTTTAGGGCATATCCTGCTGCCTCAGGCACCTGCTCTTTGGAGTTCCTGTTGAGTTCTCCCGGGGTTCTGAGAGAATTGGTGCTCGGAGCGGGTAGAGGCAGTGTGTTCCCAGAACGTGCGTGTAGACTGCGGTGAGAGTTCGGGAATAAAGAGTTGCTGTTTGAATCTACAAGGCTTTGTGGTGGCTCGGTTATTTTGTGCCCATCCAGACTGTGGCACTCTATCTGATGTGGGAGGGGTCAAGATTTGCTCCTGGATGTAGGCTCTCTTTTTTTTTTTTTTTCTTTTTTGATAAAAAACTTTTTAGTTTGAATCCATCCCATTTATTGATTCTTGGTTTTAATTCTTGTGCTATACAAGTCTTATTAAGGAAGTTGTGGCCTAATCCCACATGATGAAGATTAGGGCCTACTTTTGCTTCTGTAAGATGCAGAGTCTCTGCCTTAATTCCTAGGTCCTTGATCCATTTTGAGTTAACTTTTGTGCATGGTGAGAGATAGGGGTTCATTTTCATTTTGTTGCATATGGATTTCCAGTTCTCCCAGCACCATTTGTTGAAGATGCTATCCTTTCTCCAGTGCATGTTTTTGGCACCTTTGTCTAATATAAGATAGTTGTAATTTTGTCGGTTGGTCTCTGTGTCCTCTGTTCTGTACCATTGGTCTACCAGCCTGTTTTGGTGCCAATACCATGTTGTTTTTGTTTCTATTGCTCCGTGGTATAGTTTAAGATCTGGTATAAAGATACCACCTGCTTCACTATTCCTGCTAAGGATTGCTTTGGCTCTTCTGGGTCTCTTATTTTTCCAGATGAATTTCATGATTGCTTTTTCTATTTCCATGAGGAATGTCATTGGGATTTTGATCAGAATTGCATTAAATCTGTATACTGCTTTTGGTAGTAAGGTCATATTGATAGTATTAGTTCTGCCTATGCAAGAGTAAGGTAGATCTTTCTATCTTCTAAGGTCTTTGATTTCTCTTTAGTGTTCCATAGTTTTCATTGTATGGATCCTTTACCTCTTTTGTTGATTCCCAGGTATCTTTTCCTTGAGGATATTATGAATGGGGTAGATTTCCTCATCTACTTCTCAGAGGATTTGTCACTGATATACAGAAATGCCTTTGATTTATGGGTGTTGATTTTATATCCTGGTACTTTGCTGAATTCTAGTTCTAGAAGTTTTCTCATGGAGTTTTTTGGGTCTTGTAGGTACAGAATCATATCATCAGCAAATAGTCCTAGTTTAAGTTCTTCTTTTCCTCTACTTATTCCTGTAATTTCATTCATCGAATTGCTCTGGCCAGTGTTTCAAGAACTATGTTTACTAGAAGTGGTGAGAGAGAGGGCATCCCTGTCTTATTCAGATTTTAGAGGGAATGCCTTCAGTTTTTCTCCATTTAGAATGATGTTGGCTTGGGGCTTAGCATAGATAGCCTTTACAATGTTGAGGTAAGTTCCTGTTATCCCTAGTTTTTCTAGTGTTTTAAACATGAAGGGGTGCTGTATTTTGTCAAATGCTTTTCTGCATCTATTGAGATGATCATATGATTTTTATTCATTTTATTGATTTCCATATGTTGAACCAACCTTGCATCCTGGGGATGAATCCCACTTGATCATGGTTCACAATCTTTTTGATATGTTTTTGTATTTGATTTGCCAGAATTTTATTCTGAATTTTTGCATCTGTTTTTTAGAGATATTGGTCTGAAGTCTTCTTTCTTTGATGTGTCTTTGTCTGATTTTAGAATAAGGTGATTTTGGCCTCATAGAATGAGTTTTGAAGTGCTCCCTCATTTTCTATTTTATGAAATAATTTCATGAGTATTGGTGTTAGTTCTTCTTTAACGGTCTTGTATCCATTGAGTCCTGGGCATTTTTTTTTTCCCTATTGGTAGGCTTTTGATGGTGTCTTCTATTTCATTGCTTGAAAATGTTCTGTTTAACTTGTGTATATCATCCTCACTCCGTTTGGTTAAATTATATGATTGTAGACATTTATTGATGTCTTCAGTATTTTCTGTTTTATTGGAGTACAAATTTTCAAAATAATTTCTAATTATCTTCTGTATTTCTCTAGTGTTCATGGTGATATTTCCTTTCTCATCATGGATTTTAGTAATTTGAGTTTTTCTCTACATTAGCATGGATAAGGGTTTATCAAGTATATTTATTTTTTTCAAAGAGCCAACTTTTCATTTCAAAAATTAAAAAAAATTCAATTTATAAAAAATATACGGCAGCGGAATGTATTACAATTCTTACTACACATGTACAGCACAATTTTTCATATCTCTGTAAAGTAGGTTGACACCAATTCATGTCTTCATACATGTAAGATAGATAATGATGTCCATCACATTCCACCATCCTTGCTAATCCCTGCCCTCTCCCTTCCCACCCCTCTGCCCTAAATAGAATTTATCTATTCCTCCCATGCTCCCCCTCCCTACCCCAGTATAGTCAGTTTCCTTATATCAGAGAAAATATTTGGCATCTGTTTCTTTGGGATTGGCTAACTTCACTTAGCATTATCTTCTCCAATGCCATCCTTTTACCTGCAGATGCCATGATTTTATTCTCTTTTATTGCTGAGTAATATTCCATTGTGTACAAATGCCACATTTTTTTATCCATTCATTTATTGAAGGACATCTAGGTTGGCTCCACAGTTTAGCTATTGTGAATTGTGCTGCTATAAACATTGATGTGGCTGTGTCCCTGAAGTATGCTGTTTTTAAGTCCTTTGGGTATAGACTGAGGAGTGGGATAGCTGGGTCAAATGGTGGTTCCATTCCCAGATTTCCAAGGAATCTCCATACTGCTTTCCATATTGGCTGCACCAATTTGCATTCCACCAGGAGTGTATGAGTGTACCTTTTCCCCACATCCTCGCCAACACTTATTGTATGTCTTCATGATAGCTGCCATTCTGACTGGAGTGAGATAATATCTTAAAGTACTTCTTATTTGTGTTTCTCTGATTGCTCGAGATGATGAGCATTTTTCCATATATTTACTGATTGTATATCTTCTGAGAAGTGTCTTTTCAGGTCCTTGGCCCATTTCTTGATTGGGTTATTTGTTTTTTCATCTACCAGGGTCTTTTAAATCCTCTGTCCTGGACCACAGCTGCTTCATTTGATTCCTCACATTATGAAGCTTCCAGCATCTTGGACCAAGCTGTTACCAGTTTCCCAGTGTTGCCATCCTGCAGGCAAACATTTGGTGACTATTCCTCCCATGATTATGTGAGTAAATATAATAAGCTCCCTTCTATACACACATCCATTTTTATGTATTTTATTCTCATTTTCTGAAGAACCTTGAAAAATACAGGCATATTCTCAACAAAATGTCTGGGTCGTATGGCATCTCTAGTTTTAATTTTTTGAAAAATAACCCTTATAGTTTTTTAAATATCTATTCAAATTTATATTTCTGGCAAGGATGTCAAAGTGTTTCCTTTTCTGCATATCTTCTGCAGTATGTGTTACCTACCAACATTTTGAGAATAGCCCACAAGCATGTGGTTATAGTTCATTGTGATATAACCTGAAATCATAAAAATTCTAGAAGAAAATGAGAAGAATTTTTTTCATTCACGTTGGCAATGGTTTTAAATAGAACCTCTTGAGAATGTGCAAGGAAAAATAGATAGGTGAGACTATATAAAGCTAAAAATGCTTCTGTGCAGCAAAGGAATCAATCAATGAAATGTAAAAGTAGACTGTGGGTAAAAGAAAATCGTTGCTAGCCATATGTCTGATAAAAGCTCAGCATCCAAAATATATGAAATTTATACAGCTCACCAAAAATAAAAAAAACAACAAACCTTAATTACCTAATTTAAATATGGTAAAATACTTAGATTCTGCCCTAAAAATTAAACAAGTGTTTCAAGACATATAAAACCTACTCAAGAATATTAATTAGGCTAACTAAAATTATAATTTACTTTAGCTTCTCTGCTTCATTTATCTCACAGGATTATGTGTGCACACTCTCTGTCCTGCACAGGGCATCCTGAGACATTGTTCAATTCACAAAATGCCAGGTTCTCATTTCCCCACATTGTGCTTTCTCATCATAATTGCCAAGAAAGTCTGAAGCCTGGAAAACAACAACATATGGATAAATTGCAAGATAATCATCAACTTTGAAAATTACTTCAGGAATCAATAGAATACTTTAGCAGACCCAGATGTGAAGAAATATAAAGTAGACCTACAAATTAACATTTAACTTAATTGCAAATATTTTTATGAGCATCTGAAAAGCTGATCATGGTAGCATACGCCACTAGTCCTGGCAACCTGTGAGGCTACAGTGGGAGGAGGATTTGGGCTAAGGAATGTGAGGCCAACCTGGCAAAAATCCAGCTCCAAAAATCAACCCACCAAAAAAAACCAAACAGTAATCACATTTTTTTAAAAAAAGGTGCCTTCACAGGCGATTTCTGGCAATCATGTAATAAGAGATCAGTAAGAATAATTCATGATTTCATCTAAAAATAGAAGAAAAAAATGGACTAATTCTTTCTGTAAGGCCAGAAATACCAAATAACACAACAAAAGAATGGAAATTGCAGACCATCTTCCTATAGATGTTGACCAGATATTCAAACCCCTAGAAAACTGAGAATAACAACAAAAATAAAGATTGGACTTCATGACCAAGAGGGACAATATGTAAGTTTCCAAAAATCTTTTTGATAGAGAAAAGCTTTTGGCAGATTACATACTTATGTAATTTATTGTAAAACCTATGGCCAATTAAGACTAGAGGACAATTCTTTGTCAATCCACTAAAGGGCAGCTGTGAACTGTTTTCATATTTAATGGTGAGAACCTAAGTGTTTGACAATTTAGTTTTAGAAAAAGGAAAAAAAAATGTATGGTTTCCTGACATCTAAATATTGTTCTAAGAATACTGAATAGCATTTTATACATCAAAAGTCAAATAGCATATGCAGATGATATTCTTATTTCTATAATATTTTTAAGCAATTTCCATGCACTAATGAAACATAAGACCTAAATTAGTTCAATAATGTTATGGGTTAAATGGTCAACATTAAGTCATGTAATTTATACACACTAGCAATGGGCAGTGTTAAAATTGAGGCATAAATCCATTCACAAATATAGGAAAAATAATTTAAAATGAAAGTAATAACAAAAGAACTGTTCACTGCAAAGTAAAAATAAAGGGGAAAGTAAAATGCAAAAAAAAAAAAAATGGAAACAAATTGGGAAAACAGTTAATATTCAATGATCAAAAGTTTGATTTTGTTAAAACCACAATATTCCACAGTGGGTCTGCAGATTCAATATAATGAGGCCAAAATCCAAAAGTCATTTTGTAAAAATTACCCAGCTGACTCTAAAATTATAACAAATGCAAAAAAAATTAAATAACTCAATATTGAAGTAAAAATTGTGTGACTTTTATTGAAAATGTGCATTGCAAAAATACATCGTGTAGGATATTAAATTTGGTTAAATACCTCTTAAATTGCTGATGACCAGTATTCCTTATGCATGAAGTGAGGGTCTGTGTTAATGTAGGCAAGAATTAGGCTGGGATTGACTTTTGTCATCACAGGTACTATCTGCTGAGCTTGAGAATGTCTATTGCTTTCATGATAACTTTTTTCTGCCTCCCAGATTTTCTGCACCTTACCTACCATCGATGTTCTGTCTCTTGTATTTCACCCAAATATATCCCACTGGGTATCAGGTATTGAAATTCACATATATTCCTGCTCTTCCTGCAGCTGAGAACTAAAAAAACAATGCAGTTCAATGTCTTGTTGAGTGGTTGAAAGGATTTGTCCTTGATCCTCACACAGGCTGAAGTGTGTTTTTTATTTTTATTTTTTGATTTAAAACAATGACAGTGGAATGCATTACAATTCTTATTACATGTATACAGCACAATTTTTCATATCTCTGGTTGTATATAAGGGATGTTGGGACCAATTTGTGTCTTCATACATGTACTTTGGATAGTGATGTCATCACATTCAACTATCACTGCTAATCCCCTACCTACTTCCCCTCCCCTTCCACCCCTCTAATAGATGTAGAATTCATCTATTCCTCCCATGCTCCCCCTCCCTACCCCACTATATTCAGCTTCCTTATATAAGAAAAACCATTCAGCATTTGTTTTTTGGGATTGACTAACTTCACTTCTCCAATACCATCCATTTACATGCAATTGCCATGATTTTGTTATTGCTGAGTAAAATTCCATTGTGTATATATGCCACATATTTTTTATCCATTCATCCACCAAAGGGCATCTGGGTTGGCTCCACAGTTTGCTATTCTGAATTGTGCTGCTATAAACATTGACGTGGCTGTGTCCCTGTAGTATGCTGTTTTCGAGTCCTTTGAGAATAGTCCGAGAAGAGGAATAGCTCGGTCAAATGGTGGTTTCATTTCCAGATTTCCAATACTGCTTTCCATATTGGCTGCACCAACTTGCAATCGCACCAGAAGTGTATGAGTGTACCTTTTCCCCCACATCCTCAGCAACACTTGTTGTTGGTCTTCAAAATAGCTGCCATTATGATTGGAATGAGATGATATCTTAGAGTGGTTTTGGTTTGCATTTCTCTAATTGCAAGAGATGATGAACATTTTTCCATATATTTGTTGATTGATTCTATGTCCTTTTCTGAGAAGTGTCTGTTCAGGTCTTTGGCCCATTTCTTGACTGGATTATCTGGTTTTTTTTTTTGTTGTTGTTGTTGTTGCTTAGCATTCTGTGTTATTTATATACCCTTGACATTAGTTCTCTATCTGATGTATGAGGGATAAAAATTTTCTCCCAGAATGTAGGCTCTCTGTTCACCTCAGATTTTTTTTCTTTTTCTTGCTGAGAAGAAACTTTTTAGTTTGAATCCATCCCATTTATTGATTCTTGGTTTTAATTCTTGTGCTATAGGCATCTTATTAAGGAAGTTGGGGCATAGCCCCACATGATGAAGATTAGGGCCTACTTTTTCTTCTATTAGATGCAGAGTCTCTGGTTTAAATCCTAGGTCCTTGATCCACTTTGAGTTGAGTTTTGTGCATGGTGAGAGATAGGGGTTTAATTTCATTTTTTTTTTTTTTTTGCAAATGAATTTCCAGTTTTCCCAGCATCATTTGTTGAAGAGGCTATCTTTTCTCCAATGCATGTTCTTGGCACCTTTGTCTCATATAAGATAATTGTGATTTTGTGGGTTAGTCTCTGTGTCCTCTATTCTGTATCATTGGTCAATCTACCAGCCTGTTTTGGTGCCAATACCATGCTGTTTTTGTTTCTATTTCTCTGTAGTTTAAGGTCTGGTATAGTGATACTACCTGCTTCACTCTTCCTGCTTAGAATTGCTTTAGCTATTCTGGGTCTCTTATTTTTCCAGATGATTGTCATGATTGCTTTTACTTTTTCTATGAGAAATGTCATTGGGATTTTGATCAGAATTGCATTAAATCTGTATAGTGCTTTTGGTAATGTGGTCATTTTGATAATATTAATATTGCCTATGCAAGAGTAAGGTAGATCTTTCCATCTTCTAAGATTGTCTTTGATTTCTTTTTTTAGGGTTCTGTAGGTTTCATTGTATAGATCTTTCACTTCTTTTGTTGATTCCCAAGTATCTAATTTTTTTTTGTTTTGAAGTTACTGTAAATGGGGTAGTTTTTCTCATTTCCTTCTCGAGGCTTTGTAACTGATATACAGAAATGCCTTTGTTTAATGGGTGTTGATTTTATATCCTGCTGCCTTGCTGAATTCATTTTCTAGTTCTAGAAGTTTTCTGGTGGTGCTTTTGGGGTCTTCTAGGTATAGAATCGTATTGTCAGCAAATAGTGCTAATTTAAGTTCTTTTCCTGTAGTTACTCCTTTAACTTCTTTTGTCTACTTGCTCTGGCCGCTGTTTCAAGAAGTATGTTGAATAGAAATGGTGAAAGAGGGCATACCTGTCTTGTTCCAGTTTTTAGAGGGAATGCCTTTAATTTTTCTCATTTGAATGATGTTGGCCTGAGGCTTAGTGTAGATAGCCTTCATGATGTTGAGATATGTTCCTGTTATCTCTAGTTTTTCTAATGTTTTGAACATGAAAGGGTGCTGTATTTTGTCAAATGGTTTTTCTGTGTCTCTTGAGATGATCATATGATTCTTATTTTTAAGTCTATTGATGTGATGAATTACCTTTATTGATTTCCATATGTTGAACCAACCCTGTATCCCTGGGACAAACCCCACTTGATCTTGGTGTACGACCTTTTTAATATGTTTTTGTATTCAATTTGCCAGATTTTTATTCAGAATTTTTGCATCAATGTTCATTAGAGATATTGGCCTGAAGTTTTCTTTCTTTCCTTTGTCCCTGCCTGGTTTTGGGATCAGGGTGTTATTGGCCTCATTAGAAGGAGTTTGGAAGTGCTGCTTCTTTCTCTATTTCCTTAAATAAATTGAAGAGCATTGGTGTTCTTGTAGTTCTTCTTTAAAGGTCTTATTGAACTTGGCTGTGTATCCATCTGGTCCTGGGCTTTCCTTGGTTGGTGAGCTTCTGACGGCATCTTCTATTTCATCATTTAATATTAGTCTGTTTAAATTGTGTATGTTTCCTGATTCAATCTGGGAATATCATATGACTTAAGAAATTTGTTGATGCCTTCAATGTCTTCTATTTTATTGGGGTATACATTTTCAAGATAATTTCTAATTATCCTCTCTATTTCTGTAGTGTCTGTTGTGATATTGCCTTTTTCATCATGTATGCTGGTAATTTGAATTTTCTCTCTCCTTTTCTTCATTAGCATAGCTAAGGTTCTGTCAGAGAACCAACTTTTTTTCAAGGTTTAATTGTTTCTTTTAGTTCAATTTCAGTTCTAATTTTAATTATTTCTTGCCTTCTACTGCTTTTGCTGTTGATTTGTTCTTCTAGGGCTTTGAGATGAAGTATGAGATCAATTATTGACTTTTTCTTCTTTTAAGGAATGAACTCCATGCAATGAAGTTTCCTCTTAGTACTGCTTTCATAGTGTCCAAGAGATTTTGATATGTTGTGTCTATGTTCTTGTTTACCTCTAAGAATTTTTTAATCTCCTCCTTGAAGTCTTCTATAACCCATTGTTCATTCTTTTGTACCAAATTGATTCACTCATTGAACTGCTTATAGAACTTGAAATATTTCAAGTTTGTCTTTTCACGAGGTGGAAGTGTCACTTTACATGTCTCTAAACATTAATATTTTATGAATATTTTACACATTGGGAATGTGTCATGGATCATACTTGAAACTAATTGTATTGGGGAGCTCAATCTATCTCATGGATACAAAGCAGAGAGAATAGCAACCAGACTGTTTTCAAAAGCTTTTTTACCACTCTTTTTGTCTCCCTTGGGCACAATCACCTTATGAGAATATCTTTGACAAGTCTGATTTGCATCTGGAATGTCCGCCAAATTTCACATTCACTGATGGCAGAAGAGTTAGGAGTTGGACTTTTATTCAGTGCTTGGATTATGGTATATATCCTTCACTTCACTCTGATATGGAGTATATATACTGTTTTTGGACTTATGTATTTTTCTCTTAATTAGATAATGGAAAGTATCTTATTACATAATTAAAGTCACTCTCCTACATGACAGTCAATTCTACTAACTCTTATTTCAAATTAAAAACTGAATAATGGTTTGGTCCAAGTTCTATTGATGTAACAATTTTTATTTCAGGAGCCATTGACATTCGGGGATGTGGCCATTGATTTCTCTGAGGAGGAATGGGAATGCCTGGATCCTGCTCAGCAGAATTTATATAGAGAAGTGATGTTGGAGACCTACAGCAACCTGGTCTTTGTGGGTGAGCATAACTTTCCTTCAAAATTCCTATTTATCATTATTTAATTTTCTTCCCTTGAAGTATATCTTTTGGGAACTTCACCATAAGAATGAGATTCAGATTCATGCTTTCAATAAAAAAGATGTGGTAGTTCTTGGTGCTGACAAGAAAATGTTAATGATGTTTTTTTTCATCCTTAATGTTTACCTTTGTTGGCATGATATACATCCTTCACTTGACATATGGTTGACTTAGAGGAATGCAGTGATGTCAAATCCTGTGACCCACATATAGCTTTGAGGACATAGTTGAGGTAGAGGAGGAAGCCTAAATTCAAAAAGGTTGATTGAGAAGTTATCCAGAAGAAAAGATTTTTGAGAAGCTTTGATTTCTTTCTTTTGTTATCATAGAAGAACCTGTCCTGTGTTTTGTGCTTCAAAATTATCTAGTCTCCGGCTTTTCCTCCAATATTGTCTCCATACATGCAAATTAACAACAAAACACTCCCCTTGCCTTGTGTCAATATTATCTGACAGCTCTTCCATAATTTTTTAAAATATTTTTTAGTTGTTAATGAATTTCCCATTTATTCATATGTGGTGCTGAGGATTGAACCCAGGGCCTTATATGTGCTAGGCAAGTGCTCTACCACTAGTCTACAACTCCAGCCTCTCTTCCATTATTTACAGGAAATTTTTGCACATTTCTGGAGACCTCTAAGTCAAACCATTGTAATACATTACTATCATAAGTCAGTTTCTCTGATCTTATTTGTACATTTTTTTTTTCACGAAAATTTCCTTATCAGAGTTCTTTCTGAATATGTGTAATGGATTTTCTGTGAAATTATCTGCCGTGGAATGAATGTCAAGATAGCAAAGACTGTTCTTTTGAGAGATGCTGTAAGTTGTAGTTGAATAAGAGGATTTGTAAAATAATACATCTGTGGATATTTACAATTTGGATGGTTAATTTTTTTCTTTATTTTTTCGTTGTGTCCAGTAGGTTCTGTGTTACAGACTGGGTTTCCTCATATCAGTTAATTGCTTCACAAATTACGATATGCATGACCCTGGTTGATATTGCCAATAATGTTATATGTTCTTTTGCTTGTATAAATATTAAGCCCCTTTTGTCTATGACTTTTGTATTTTATCTTGATTGAGTTTTCATTCTGCCCATGTACGTAGAAATTGAAGTTGTCTATATGTAAGTGTAATGGGGATTGATGGCAGTGATACTCTAATGCTGAACTACACCCCAAGCTCCTTTTCATTCATAGTTGGAGAGAGGTTCTCACTGCATTATTGAGGATGTCTTGAAATTGCAATTCTCCTGCCTCAGACTTCCTAGTAGCTGAGATTACATGCATGCCCATCATTTGTATATTGATGAGTTTGTTCTTATTTATAGGATGAAAACCACATTATTTTAAATGTAGCTTGAGAAATGTTGCAAATCTCTTTATCTTTTAATTTTTATTGTAATCAAAACCACAAAATAAAAGTTACTGTCTCCAAAATTTTAAATATACAGTTCAGTAACATGAATTCAAATTGTTACGCAATGTAAATCTAAAAACTTTACATCTCAAAAAAATATCAATTCCTAAGAAGCAAGGGCTCATTTCTGTCTCCCCATCACAAAACCATTCTCTTTTGTTCAGAAAGCTTTTTTTTTTAGTTTAGAGATGTCATATTCATAGAATTCTGCGATATTTTTTCTGTGACATATTTCAGTTAACCTAGCATACATACATTTTGTAAAATATATAATTAGAATAAATCTTTGACTTCAAAGTTCTATAGTTTCTATATTCCAAATTGTCTCATCCATTCTTTTCAAGGAATATTTGGTTTGCATCCCCCATGATGGCTCTGTTGTATAATAGGGTAACAACACTGGTGTGCAATGTTTTTAATTTGCTATTGATGTGAGGGCTTATTACCACACTCACTCAGAACTCCATGTACCTAACACCATGCCTGCATTTACAATTGAATTCTGTAACTTTTAGTATATTTTTTAGCAGGGAAATATTCTTCCAATTATATTTGTATTTTGTGGGATATTCATACAATTTAAATGATAGATTTCTCTGCAAAAAAAAAAAAAAAAAAATTAACAACGGGAGTTTGACAAATATTACCTGGAGCCTGTGGTTAACTTTAAGTAGTGTAAGCATCTTTTAATTTTATCGTTCAATTCTTGGACAACAGCATGCCCAAGAGTGTTCAATCAACTGACACATATTTAGGGATTTTTGAACATCCTTATCACTTTTCACTTCAAATTTTTATTCCATGTTGGTTATAAAATAACTATCACTTAAATATTTATTTACCTTTGTATTAATACATAAAATTGGTCTATCCAACATAATATCCCACTTGCAATTAAGAACAGGGATTCTATTAGTCTACAATATTTTTCAAAATATTTTCAAAGTCTTATACTTTGCAATTACCATTTTGCTTCACTGTATTTCCCTTTTCAGTAAGTGGGGATTGATGTCTCCTAGGATGACAGTGATTCTTTGTTTTCATTCAACTCTCTCAATGTTTTCTTTGTGTGTTTGGGAAGTAGGATGTACATTGCCAATGTATTTACTCTTAATCCTAGGAAAAGGTTCCTTCTCTCAATTTTTGCCTCTTTTCAAAGGTTTTTTAAAATTTAAAATGTCTTCTATGTCCTGTAACTGTCTTGAAATATGTTTTGTGTACTATCATTTAGACAGCCCAGTTTTTGTTCAGTCACTTTTGTATGTGTCATTCTTATATTGTTTTTCTTTCAGTATGTGTGTGTCCTTAGACTTAGAGTATCCTGTGGACTACCTTCAGTTGTAATTTTTAGATTAATTCAGATAGCCAAGGTTTGTTTTGATCAGATTTTGTAATCTTGCATTTGCCAACAACAACAACAAAAATCTAAAAATGAAGAATCTCCTACTTATACTTTGTATGAGTATCAACTTTACTTCACTTTATTAAAAATTAATATATTTGTGGCTTTTCAAAACTATATTATTGTTACAGGTATATATGTCTATTAACAGTTTTGTTTTTATGCTTTTGTCTTTCAAATTCTATTGCAAAATTACTTGTTTTGTGACCCATCATTACAATAAAATAGAGTTGTTTGTGCCAAGAAATGTTTAGAATTTCATATGACTTGTGTTGCTGTGCACACTTACATTTTAGTATGAAGGATTACCTTTAGTACTTTGTGGAGAACAGATCTAATGTTGATGAATAGTCTGTTCAATTTTATATCTTTAAAGTCTTTATTTTCCTTCTCTTTTGAAAGATAGCGGTTGTGAATATAATGTCTTCATTGATAATTTTATTCTTTCATCCCTTGAAAATAGCCCCGAATTCCTTTCTGTGTTGTGAAGTTTTGACTAAGGATTTCACAATTATATAGTTACACATTTCTAGGTGACCCATTTTTTTTCTCTTGGATGCTCTCAATATTCTGAGTTTTAAAACTTGGATTAAAAACCTGCTTTGAGTCTTTACAACTTGGAGATAATTGAGCTGCTTGGATGTTTTATTTTTCCTATTTTATTAGATGTTTTTATTAGTACTGGAAAGAGAACTTAAGGGCACTTTACCACTTTGCATTTTTTACTTTGACTGCCTTGAAATTTTGATCTTCTGGCTCTTCTGGCTCAGCCTCCTATGTTGCTATGTAAAACCACCTCTGACTCTTTCAGACATTTTCTAAACAAAGTCTTTAAACACACATTTTCTGCTTATTAACAATTCTTTACCAAATTTTATTCTGTGTGTTGGTTATTGTGTGTTGGTTTAGTTCATTAAACTTCTTTTAAATGATTATTTAATATTCCCCTTGAGTAATTCATAACTTTTTCTTACAGTTGATTTTGCCATTTTTTTTCTGTTGGTAAGCAGGAACCCCTTTTTGAACAATCCCCAAATATTCACATGTTTCTTATTTTTTTTTTTTAATGAAACAGAAGAAATATATTGTGAAGGAGGAAAGGCTTATAACACAATTTGTCTTCTTCTACAATATAACTCTCCATAGTAAGGTACTCATCTTGGATACTATGAACACTAAGATGATTTGGAAAGTTTTCAAAGTAATTTTCTTTGTACATTTTTATTTGATTTATATATTTCTGCAGTAATGATGGACTTGGATTTAATAATTCACTCCCATCCTGATGTTCCTTTATTGCTGTAAATTCCTATGTTTGCAAAATATAATCAGCCCAGTACAGCAAGTAAACATGATTGTTATTTTTATTTATTTCAGCCATGACTTCTCATCGTCCTCAAGAAATTTCACCAGAGCAAAGAATAAAAGAAGGAGAGGGAAGATATGGAAAGTCGGCCCTAGATTATTTACCACTAAGAAAACAATGGGAAAATATAGGTGAGAGTAAAGTTCAAAAATTGTATTATAATGGACAAAACCAATTAGTAGTCCCTATTTATGATAAAAAAATTATGGTCACAAGACACCAGAAAAAATTAATATCTGAAAAAAAATCAATCTATTCCACTTACTTTTGAGGAGCTGTGTATGGCTTTAAGAATATATCCACAGCCATTTTACAAAAGGAAATGTGGAAAATTTGAAAAGAAATCTGGTCCATGCATAAGTTTTTAACTTAGCCAATTATAAATGTAGCACTGAGTTAAACTTCCAGTCAAATTTTTGCACAGAAAAGATACTTGAAACTGAAAGACACATTTCTAAAAGTGATACTTTTGAGAGTTTCTTTACAAAATGTCCATTTTTTCTGCAGCAAAACAGTAATTTCTCCTTGCACACAAATGGACAATGTTAAGAATTGTAGAAAGGATTCTACTTCCCCACTATTGCTCAATGACAATTATGATACAGATTTCTGGAAAGTGCTATAAGTAACACCATTAGCCATGTATGTACCCTGAGTAATTACCAGTATATTTACATTGGTGATAAAAATTATGAATATAGAGAAACTCCTAGTCATTTTCTAAAGGAAAATTACCATGATGAAAAATGTGGGAAAGTCTTGCTTCAGTTCTCAAAAACTATTACTCATCCAAATATTCATAGTCAAGGCAAAACTTGCAAGTGTAAAGTATGTGAAAGGGCTCTTAATAACAGAGAAGAGCTTGCTCAATACAAGAGAATTTATGGAGAAAGGGAGCCTTATAAGTTTAAAGAATATATCAAAGCATTGGCTTGCTCAACAAATTCTAAACACAGTAGATACGATGACAGTGATAAACTAAATTTAAAGAATGCAGAAAAACTTTTAGTGAAAGGTTACAATTTCTTAAGCATCAGAGCATTTTTGCTGAAGAAAAGGCCTGTAAATGTAAAAAGTGTTGCAAACCCTTAAAAAATTTTTCAACTCTTACTCAACATCAAAAAATTTATTCTGCAGAGAAGACCTACCAATGTGAAGAATGCAACATACTCAAGAACTTTACTCAACATCACAGTGTTCATACAGGAGATACGCCATGCAAATGCAAAGAATGTGACAAAACTTCTAATAAAAGCTCCAATCTTATTTGTCACCAGTGCACACACCCTCTAGAGATGCCCCACATATGTAAACAAGTTTGTGAAGCCTTAAAAAATCCAAGCCTTAAAAATCACCAGAGAATTCATACTGGAAAGAAGCTCTACACATGTAAAGTGTGTGGCAAGATTTTTAATCATAAATCATCATTTACTGAGCACCAGCGAATCCACACTGGAGAGAAGCCCTACACCTGTAATGTATGTGGCAAAGCTTTTAGAAGAAAGTCACATCTTGATGGCCACAACAGGATTCATACTGGAGAAAAGCCCTACAACTGTAAAGGATGTGACAAAGCTTTTAAAAGAAAGTCACATCTTCATCGCCACAACAGGATTCATACTGGAGAGAAGCCCTACAAATGTAGAGAATGTGGCAAGAGTTTTAATCAAAAATCATCACTTACTCAGCACCAGCGACTCCACACTGGAGAGAAGCCCTACAACTGTAACATATGTAGCAAAAGTTTTCATCAAAAACCATCACTTACTCGGCACCAGAGAATTCACACTGGAGAGAAGCCCTACAACTGTAAAGTGTGTGGCAAAAGTTTTACTACTACAAACACACATCTTGATTGCCACAACAGGATTCATACTGGAGAGAAGCCCTACAAATGTTAAGTGTGTGGCAAGAGTTTTACAATAAACACACAGCTTGATCGCCACAACAGGATTCATACTGGATAGAAGCCCTACAAATGTAGAGAATGTGGCAAAGATTTTAATCAACAATCATCACTTACTTGACACCAGAGAACCCATACTAGAGAGAAGTCTTATAAATGTGAAGAATGGCAAAGCTTTTAAAATTGAAGATCACATCTTACTAAACATTATAGATTTTATTCTGGAGAGAACTTTTACAAGTGAAAACATTGAAACAGTGTCTTTAAGGATGAATCAACCCTTATTTCACAGTAGTTCAACACTATTTAACACCAGAGATATGATAGCACAGAAATTATACAAGTGTAAAATAGGTGTCAGAGTCTCCAACAGTTATTCACACCCTACTCAGGACCTCAGAATTCATACGAGTGAGAGGACATGTGGAAAAATTTCAGACATTTTTCAATTTCTGATCCCATACCTGTAGCAAATGTGGAGTAGCATTTGTCCAAAGTATGTACCTTAGATAACAGCAAAATATTTACAAAACACCTTGACAAATACAACAACTGTAAGTGTCTTATGTATAGCCCATCTCTTGAAGTATTTGGGACCTAGGAGGGAAAAAATCATTTAAATGTAGAAAATGGGTAATTGCTTTTGATATTTGCTGAAAATTTTCTTAACAACTTTAGCTGATATTGTAGAAATAATGAAATACAAATATAGAATAGTGCATCCCTAAATGGATATAATTTTACTATAAATCAACAATTACTAAATATTCTCATTTCTCACAATTGGAGAAAACATAATTCTCATAGTTGATTATTTCAGAAATGTCTTAAGATTATATGAAGCTTTAAATGTTTAATTTTTAGTTTTGAACTTAGGGGCACTTAATCAGTAAACTGCATCCCCAGATTTTTTTTCATCATTTTTATTTAGAGATATGGTCTGCTAAGTTGGTTAGGGCCTCAGTAAGTTATGGAGCCTGGCTTTGAACTTGAAAAACGCCTTCTGTAGTTCCTCAAGGGTCACTGGCATGGACCACCATGCCTGTTGTATAGAGCATTTTTACTTATATTTGCATTACATATGTAATTTGTTACTAAATAAAAATTGTGAATTTTTAATGTTAACCATGTCATGCATTTAATGATGTTATTAGGTCACATACTTCCCACTATTCACTTTGCTAATGGAGCGATGCAATAGTAAAATATTCTATTGGGTAAAAAATGCTATAACATCTCCATTAATTATTTCATGTTTAATCAAGTTTTATTTGGGGAATATTATTTATGTAAATTACCTTTGAAATTATGGAAAAATTCCAACAGTTATAGGAAGGACCTAGGGATACTAAAATAATGCCCAGGTATCCCTAGTTTGAATGACAACTTTAACATTTCACCTTACAAAGTTGCAGTACTCCCTAAGGGATCTACAACTCTGGAGAGTTGCACAAGCTCCCAGTCAGGGAGAGGAGAAAGACCCAAGAGACTAGGAGCCAATTTGCATATTCAGGTAAAAAGAGGGTTGCTGAATGGGGAAATATTCTCAATGTTTCCTGAGGAAACCACGTGGTCTACAGGCCCATCCTGACCCTTGGACTGAAGAAACCATGCAGTTCCTCATGAATTCCATGACGTTCATCACTGAGGAGACTAGAATGACCTCAATTGTAGGAAAAACCTACCAATATAGGACCATCTGTTTAGTCTTGGATACCCACTAGAAAAGTGTAACCAGATACATGTAAAATGATGACTGTAAAAGAAAAAGACACACTATAGGAGCATTTATGCCCCCACATTTTTATTTCATTCTATATTTTGATTTTCTAGAACTTTTTCATTCTATTTAATAACTTACAATATAATATTTGCTATACTTATTGGATTATATGATAGATAGTATTATCCTGGTCTCCCAGACCCCTCTGCAACCCAGTAATTATAAGATACTAGAAACTAACCCTGTCCCTCCTCAGATCTTAAAGCTCCAAGAGCCCATGACACCACAGAGAGAGAAACACAATTTTGATTGAAATAAACCTCTAGACCCTAATCTACAAGTCCTGTTCAAAAAGTAAAAACACAATATTCTCTTCATATGTGAGCCCTTAGGTTCAACAAAACACCACCCACAAACATTTCATTTAACATTATTAGGGAAAATAAATATTGAAATATAATGATAAATTCTAGGAGAATAATATTCACAATATGTTTTATTCCAAAGGGTAAATCTATAGGTTTCATGGTTCTTTTACTCCATGTTGTTTTACACAGAAAACTGGCTTCAGTTTACATATGAGAGTTTTAACTATAAGGTCCAGAGGGAAGATTCAGTACTAGAGGTCTAAGGAAAATACTGAAGATCTTCCCTTTCCTTGTGCCTTCATGATGTCTGCATATCCTTGATGAAACAGCTAATGAATGCTGATTTCTCATTGCATCTGGCTCGGTGGCTCACTCATTGGAACCCCAATTTACTTAGTCATCTCAAGGCTATCAGTCCCTCCTTCTGGGATCTCACCTGTTCTTGGAAGGATGTAGTGTTTTTCATGGGATCACTAGGTCATGCAAGCTGTTAGAACAAAGAAAGCTTCATTCTGACTTGTATTTATTCAGTTCCACTTTAAACAGAAGTTAGAACAAGACTTCAGACTCTCACCTGTGGAGAGGATGCTCTGCCCAGCACTTCCTAAAACCTGTTTAGGAAAACTGGAACACTGAACCTATGTACTTGGGAGTCCCAGTCTGGCAATACAGTTGCCTCTGTCTGTTTCTTTTGCTTTCTTTCTTGCTTTCATAATATTACTCAAAGAAACACTGTCTTGTGTGAAGAGATTGTCTTTCTTATCTATTGGATCTGACCTGCCAAGTTGAGCAGCTGCCCACATACTTAATGTAACAATCACATGTATGTGTTATCTAATCGGTAACTATAGTATCTTTCAACTGCATGATTTTTTGTTGCATGGGGGAGGAAATTGAGAATGCTTTCTTTGAGTGCACACGGCACTATTAATAGTATTCATAACACTGCTAAGTAATATTTCCTCTCTGCTCAGCTTGTTAGTATTTCTCTTGTGCTGCTTTGTAAAACATAGAAAAGAGTTGCAAACCAAAATTTTTTTGATAATAGAGAGTTGCACAGACTGACTTGGGCAACTCTATTTACCAATGTTTGTTATTTTGTATGGGCTCAGGGTACTCTTTTATACTTTTATT